GAGAAAGACTGAGTGTGAGACTTTGATATTAGATAAAATGAATATTGATAAAGTTTACCTTTATGTACAGAATCTGAATATCGCAAAATATTTTAAAAAATTGCAATAATATCGTATCGTGTGTTAAGTATTGTGATAATATTGTATCGTGGGATGTATGGTGATTCCCATCTCTACTGAGCTGTTGATGCATTCATGTTCTTTACACCAAATTATGACGCTACCATCTGAATGTCATGGCAGAGATTGAGATTTAAATCACCTTTCTTCCACATTCTGATACACAGTTTGAACTTTACCAGGTCATCTTGACAATGTCTACATGCCTAAATGCATCGAGGGGCTGCCGTCTGATTGGCTGATTGGAGGGGATGATGGATAAATTCAAGTAACAATGTTTCTCCCTTCATATTTTATAGGCTCCTGTAACTACCTTTCATATCATTAAGGAAATGATCCCACCCCAGCTAAACTTTTCATTTCCTCTCATGAGCTCAAAAGGAGCCGTTGTTTACACGTCACGAGCTTTACTCAGTCAGTAAAATCAGGCCGTGCTGTAGTTCCAAGCCTTGTTAGAGCAACCCAAACTCTCCTATTAATAAGCCTTTACAGCAGCTTTGATCCACCTCCCAGCAGACAAGGTTGGGCAGATTGTAGTAAGGGTTTTAAAGCCATTCATGCAATTTTCCAATAAACCCTTTTCCCCAAAGGAAAAATCCCCAGAACATCCCAACAATGACTGTAAGAAGGTAAGGTTCCTCTGAACCACGATTAAACGATTAAAACAGGCTGATTTTAGCCAACTGACTCCCAGTTAAAACAGTGAATTCGAAATGGGGGCTTCATTTTAACAATGCACCGTGACGTGACCTATCCGGGATGTAATCTTCTCTTAGGGACAGCCTGGAGGAGCTTCTATTAAGCCCAACACAAACTATGCTGGAACATCAGTGAACAATATACCTGTCAAACCCATCAGTGTTTCATCTTTTTAAAAAGCTATTTCATAAGATTAAAGACTTATGCGATTACTAATCAGCTCTGCCAATAAATATGCAGTCAATTAATGTGGTAAATAAGCAGGAAACTGCTCTTCCCTCAACATTAAGTTGACTTGATGGATTCTTTTCTTGTCAGACGCCAGCACACTCCCCGGCTCGAGTGCCTGGCCTGCCTCTCCGTGTCGTCTTTCATTTCCTTTTCACCCCCAGGTCTTTTTGTACCTGTCAATTTCTTTCTACAGTGTGACTCCTTAATCCACCTGAGTGCATAGAGGACAGTTTTGACATAAGAAGAAAAGATAGACTCCTAAGGAGAGGACCGGTATCTTTAGAGCCTTGGGGATAACCGGATTACGACAGCCATTTTGTGCTGCTGGCAGTTTTTCTTATTACCCATTTCCCCCCCCCATCATCTCTCCAGAGTTGAAACACTGCCCTTTCTTAGAAGTCACTCCAAACACAGACACAATACACGTTTTTCTTTTATTTATTTTTATTTCCCCCCCAACTAAAACAACAGAGAGAGCTTTCTGCAGGATAAAGAAAAACGACATATACCAGTGACAAAGATAGTTTCCCCGCGCTGCCCTTCGTGCAGTCTATCTTGCACGTTGTTGTTCTCAAACAGTGGCAAACTCTCTAAAACATGGTTCCTCTGCAGAAGCAATAATTGTCTCTGTGTGGCAGCGGGTGCCTCCTGCGTGCGAGGCCCGTCTGAACCTACCGCACGGGAGATAACAGCACAGCTATGAGGAGACAGATCAGCTGTCTGTCCCCTGCTGCCAATCACTTTATCCCTCCAGCCTGTCTGCTGCGAGGGAACCCACAGGGGAAAAAAAACACTCCCCGAAAACGTCTTATCATCTCCACCACTGACGCATTGTGCCCCTACCGGATCTTTTATGTCCATTTATTTTGCCTTTGAAGAGGCCTGCGGCGCCTTTGATTGTGGGAGGTAAATGAAATAAAGTCCCCCCTTCTCGCTGGTACCCTGATATCTGAATTCATCGCTGCAACCGAAACCTAAACCCTGAGCTTCAGCTGACCACCGCAGGTCTGCTCACAGACAAACACATCCTGCTTCTGTCGTGGGTATAATCCGTTTTGCAGAAGTCATTTTTGGGCCTGGAAACCCTGTTATATGTTGAGCCTCTACAGTACATGTATTCTATACACAGTGTTGGGAAGGTTACTTTTAAAATGTATTC